GTTTCTTTTAAAATATCCCAACTGAAGGTGGAGCTATGCATCATTTCTTTTGGTATTGATCCCATTGTTGAAAGTCTATGGAGATTCCAGGGTGGATTTGATTTAAATCAAGTCTATTTAAACCATGATTTAAATCATGATTTAAATCACTAGCAAAAAGGCTTGATTTAAATCAACTTTGATTTAAATCATAATTTTTAAAGAGCAACTGTCATCTCTGTCCCATAGCAGCTCCTCCTCTGACCCACTGTTGACTCCCCAACAGTCCCATTCAGGGGTGAGTTGCTGCCGGCATTACTGTCAGTTTGGTGTGCCCAGAAATCTGCATGTGTGCTCCGCGTGTGTGCGGATTTGCAGATAAAAAGGTCTGCGCATGCGCAAAACCTTAAAAAGTGAAAAAAATTGCAATGCAAATTGTTCTGTGCATGCACAGAATCGGAAAACAAGATGGCGCACCCATAGGAGAACTGGTTTGGGGATGTGGCAGGCCTGGGTCGCTGCCGGTTCCAGTGACCCAGTCCGCCAAGTTACTATCAGTTCATCCGAACCGGTCCAAACTGGTAGGAACCAACCTCTGGTCGCATTCACTTTAATGGGACGGCTGGTGAAGCGGCAGTGACACAACAAGGTAAGGGACATGGTAGCTAGCAGGTGAGTGGTTATCCACCAAAAGGGGCTGCCATGATGGATGTAAAATGACAGGTGCTCTTTAATATTATATTTATAAGCTGCACAGAAGGTTTCGCTTTCAGTTTTACTGCTTGCCCTTCCTCCTCTAAGGCTCCTCCTTAGAACCTGGTGGTACCAATGCATTTCTCTTCAAACAATCATACACAGTTTGTAGTGTACCTAGATTGGCAAAACAATGGGATAAAGGAATATTCCTGAACATTGTTTTATAATTTATCTCATCGTTACTGTGAAATTGTGTGAATGCATCAATGCGGTGCATGTTATCTCAGCTTGCAGTGCTTGCATTCATTGAATGAGTTTATACCAAAAATGTAAATATTGCAGAATATACAGGCTCATGCTACATACTGTAACTAACATATTCATTTCATGCTGAATAAACTAAATTATTAATGTATCTTATACAGATGGATTTCTACTCCAAAAGCATTTTATTAAAATAAATTTGATAAAAATAAAAATCCTATTTTTTTTTTAAAGTATCGATTTTTATCCACCCTGGGAGTTTCTCAGTCATCCAGGCCATGGTTGTCCGAAAGGTGCTTTTTCAGGAAGAAACTGGACTTTCTTGTTTTTTCTTTGAATGCGATTGAAGGATGAATACCCTTCGAATGGTGTGGGAGATTTTCAGAAGGACTGCAGACCACAAGAACCATTTGCACCACTCAGGTGACCCTGAGGACGCAGATAAACCTCCAAGTGCCTCAACGACCCTCCAAAAGGATGCAAATGACCAGCTGATTACAAGGAGTATAAATCCTTCCATTCCCCACCATCCAGTCAGAGCTGAAGAGGCTTCTTGGATGAGAAGCGAATCTTCTTCAAAGAAAAACCAAGAAAGTCCAGTTGCCTCCTGAAAAAGCACCTTTGGGATCCCATTACTGAAATGT